AGAATGCACGAGGTCAAATTACCTAGACAACACAATAAGGCTCCATGTTAACTTTGTGGTTCACAGTTCAGAGTAACACAACAGTGACCCAAATAGAGCAAGTGATGCTGCTGGAGCCGCTTTTGCCAGGTTGCCAACGTGGCACCACCAACTGCCCCCTGCCTCCTGATGCAAGTCCTTGTGACTAGACCACTGTCTCGGTCCAGCAGCAGACCCGGGCTGGCTCATACAGCAAATTCTACATTCACTTTGACTGTTCAGCTGGAGCCCTCACTATTCCCATTCTGACGTGTGTGGCTTCAGCTTTTATCTGGGTGTGCGTATTCAACAGGAACCAAGTAGCCACTGGCCTGTTTTGCCTGAGTCAGAACCCAGCGATTTCATGAAAACCTGGAGTGTGTGCGCATTGAGACGGTTGGGAGAAACAGTTTTATGCACCAGCCACTACAGGCACCTGTGCCTTAGGCCTACAAACTTTCCAAGGATTAATAACATGCTTCAATCCTGAAAGAAAAAAAAATGTATTACTAGCTCCAAAATACTAGAAGTGCAAAGTTGAAATTACGAAACGTTTCTTTCGATGTATATGAAACTGGTGATTCAGGAGTCAGAGGAGGACAGGAAGAGAGAGCATGCAGCCGAGAAAGAAAGCTGGAAGGAGAGAACTGGGAATCTGAGAAGTGAGCAGAGGGAGAGCGTTGCAGGATGGAGACAATCAGTGAAGAGCAGGGCTTGCAAACTCAGCCATGCCAGAGGGCAACAGGCAACAGGAATGAGTGAAATGTTCCAGTATGAACAGGGAACTGTGGAGACAGGGACACACAAGGGCCCACACCACCGGGAAAGACGCCGGTGAACTCTGAGCAACTCCTGCCTGAGGAGGAGATTCAGCTTCTGATTTCATAAAAGCAGCAGAATTCAAGGTTTATGTAAAATTTCTAGGGTTTGTTTGATTTTTGAGACCCCAGCTCTGTGTCACCCAGGCTGGAATGCAGTGGTGTGATCTCAGCTCACTGCAACCCCCACCTCCAGAGTTCAAAAGATTCTCCTGCCTCAGCCTTCTGAGCAGTGGGGATTACAGGAAACCACTACCACACCCAGCTAAATTTTGTGGTATTAGTAGAGACAGTGTTTCACCGTGTTGGCCAGGCTGGTCTTGAAAGCCTGACCTCAAGTGATCCACCCACCTCAGCCTCCCACAACAGTGCTGGGTTGACAGGTGGGAGCCCGGCACCCGACCTTTTGGTTACTGCTGTTGTTTTGAAACAGTCTCACTCTGTCACCCAGGCTGGAGCGCACTGGTGCAATCACCGATCACCACAGCCTTGACTTCCCAGGCTCAAGCGATCCTCCAGTCTCAGCCTCCTGAGTAGCTGGGAACACAAGTGCATGCCACCTGCCCAGCTAATTTTTTAGGATTTTTTTGTTTTTGTGGGGGAAGGAGGAGTACACATGTAGCCTCACTATGTTGCCCAGGCTGGTCTCAAACCCTTAGGCTCAAGAGATCCTCCTGCCTCAGCCTCCCAAACTGTTAGGATTATGGGTGGGAGCCACCATGCCCAGCCACTTTTGTAACTGTCAATATTTTAAACATCAACAACTTAAATGTTCAAAAACACATTCCAGGCCAAAGTAACACATCAATAGGCCAGAGAATATGCAACTTCCAGTGAACTGAAAAGTGCTGCCCGGGCCCAGAACCCCATGCAAAGAAGTTTGAACACTGATGGACACAAAATATGTTATTTATTGTCAATTTCTGCAAAGACACATTTAAGCAACAAAATATACATCTGTCAACCTTTTAGAATGTGTTTTGTACATTAACAAATACAATGTGCTACCATAGCAATAAATTAAATGTACATTATTTACATGACATAGGCAGTTGGGGTCTAGAATCACCCACTCACTAAGAGGAAAGAAAGGAAAGTCATCATCCCGTGAAGCATCTCTTCCAAGCCACCGTCCTGAGGTTCTACCTAAGGTTCTTCACACAGGGGAATCTGCACGCTCATACGTCAGTGTGCCCCGAGCTGCACCGTCCAAGGGGAGCACTCATGACAAGGAGGAGCCGCACACATGCTAAGGGGCAGGAAGGGTGATTTACGAGTCCAAGCAGAAACGTCACAAAATCAGACTATGGCAATTCAATTCCAGTCTTCCAGACAAATGCCCCCCTCTCCAGAGCCAGTAAGGTGCAGGACAGAGCCATGGCCCCACTCAGCAGGGCTCTGCTGCCCTTGGCCCTGGTGGGGCTGGTCTTCCAAAGGAGCACATGGCCCAGCTGAAGGGAGGGAGACATGGGATCAGGGTGGACAGGGGCTGGTGGTAAAACAGAGCTTGGTAAAAGAATACCCCAGCCAGCCCCACCAGGTCGCAGGATCAGCCTTGGCAAACTTTACTGGCCTTCCCTTGCCTTGATGACGGGTAGCTGGAGACTGGGGGGAGCCGAGGGGTCTTGAGCTTGGCTGGCCAGCCTGGTCCCTGCTGGCTGCCTGTAGCCATGAGATCTACTGGAACCCCTGACTGCTCAAAACAGAGCTGTCTCTACTGACTTAGAAACCAATGAGAAAGGTAGTGTTTGCACTGGCACCTTCAAGGGTCTGGGAGGAAAGTGAGACAGGTGCTCGCCCAGGTTTTTATTGACCAACTTTGTAAAAAAATAACAAGTTTTCTTGGACCACTTTTCCTCCTAATTCATGAAAAGGGAGGCTGTGGGCTGGTAGGCAGCATCTTCTCCCTGGCCTCCATCCTCATTACACACTGGAGCTGAAGAACCAATCCCACCAAGGAACATCACCCAATCACCTTTCCTCCTCATTTCCTTCCATCCAAAGCCTGAGGGTCCTCACTGGAAAATCCAAGACTATCCCTCCTGATGAAAGCAAGCAGAAACCGAGGCCTCACCAGCATCCTTGACTGATCAGCTGCACGCCAGGGCCAAACCACTAGCTGTCTTCCCCAAAACCCAGGGCCCCAGGAAACACAGCCACATATTCAACCAAGCACATAGGTCGTGCAGAGGAAGGGATCCTGGGTTGAGGGTTCTAATCCCAGCTTTGCCACCAGCCAGCTGTGTGACCTCAAGCATGTCATTCCCCTCACTTGGGCTAAGATTTCTCATCTGGACAGTGACATTGCTGGCTGAGGTACTAAAAGGAGCCAGAGGCTTGGGTGTTGAGATAATGCTGACAAAGCTGAACCAGTGACTATTTTTCAAGAAACATCTTTACATTCATTGGCACAGACAGAAACTCCCATCAAGACCTTCTATCTCTAGCTTTTCTGCACCTGTTTTAAGCATCAACTGAGCTGGAGGCATATGGCTGGGCCCACTGGGCCTGGAAAGCAGTTTCTTCAGTGGGTCAGGCAGTTCCCAGAGCCAGAGACATGACCCAAACAACACCCACTCATGGACATCACAGTGGAAATCCCTCAAATACCATCCTGAGCACCATCTAAATGAGTCTCGTCGCAAGGGCCAGTGAGGTCTGAGCAAATATCCGAGCCCCAAGACTGGGCGCAGCATAAAAGACATTTTTGATCAGAGCAGATGTAGGGGAGCATGGGGGAAGCAGACCCCCAGGAACCCAAGCTGCCTGTCCCATAGGCCAGAGGAGGGAGGGGAGACTGGGCCAATCCCCGTTCTCCTCCTCCCTCTGAGCACCGGCAGCCTGGGATGGAGCCACAGGATGGAGCTTCTAGAGACAGTGACACAGGACCAGAGGGGGCCTTTGGGGTCCTGCTCAGAGCACTCCAAAAGCAAACCAGAGGTAGAGGCTCCATCTCAGGTCTGTGCTTCTTTGGGGCCACCCAGCCATCCTGCCTACCAGCTCAGAGGCAGGGACAAAGTCCTCCTAGGAGGCAGCCAGTAGCAAGGGCCAGCCAGCGTCCCTCCACAGCCCATCTGCACTGAAAGCTGCTCTTCAGGCTTGCTTTACCTGGAGGATGCCCACCTTAACCCCAACCTAGGCCCACTAGCAGAGAAGTCCAGGGCCTGCACGCTCAGAAGGAAGAAGCCAGGGAGATGTCCTGGGGGTGAGCTGGCTGCCCCAGCAAGGGAGCTCTGCTGAGCATGTGGGTCATGGGGTCTGAACCACATCCAGATGGGGCCCAGGTTGCAGGAATCTTTCAGATGTGACAGCTGCCTCAGACCCCAGCCGGAGAGGGGAATAGGATTGCGGGTTGAGCCCCAGACACAGTTGCTGAAGGTCACAGTAGCTGGTAAAGGCCCCAAGGCCATGCTGGGCCCCCCAAGACTCCAGAGGCATATGCGGCTGAGGGACACTGGGCCCCTTCCCCCTACATGGACCCCATCAGAACCTGCAAACCTTCCCTACCTCACTCTCCCCTCATGTAAGTGGGGAGGGGAAATGGTCTTCCTGGAACGTCCCCTGCCAGTGGAGACCTGGGCCCCGGCCTGGCTCTCAACCAACACAGCAGCCTCCCAGCACGGCTCCTTCGCTCTCCCTGAATTCCTTCTCCCTCCTAGCCTCCCCCCACCCCTTTGTGGAATAAATATTTGCTCGAGGGGAAGAGACCACCTCAGGGCTTCCCCCACAGTAGCCATAATCAGGGGCCTGTGAGAAGCTGGGCAGGACACAAAGTGCCAGCCACCATCCGGGAAGTGTGCGGCATGGCCCCGGCCCATCCAGCTGTCTCTGAGCTTGAACTGGCTGGAGTCCTGCTCACAGTACTCTGGCAGCCGGGGAGGCAGCCCCAGGCCTACATCAGCAGATGGGAAAGATGCTCAGCACAGAAGCAAAGATGGACATTTTGGAGATCCAGAGATACAGGGGCAATAGTGCCGACTTTTATCAGGATGGCCTCAAGGACACTCCGAGTCTTGGCTCCTGGGAGCATGATACCACCACCACCAAGAGCGTTCCTGGTGGAAAAGCCCACCCTGTCCAGGAAGGCACTGCCCTGTGGCTAAGGCCCTCGCTGGGCTCTACCCCCACCCCAAACGTGCAAGCTCCCTCTACTCCCCCCCCCTCCCTGCCCAACTTTTTTCCTCTCCAGGCTGAACAAGATTACAAAGGACCTGGACATCACACTGGGAGGTCAGGAAGGAGGAACTTGAGGAAGGAGGCCTCGTCCAGAGACAGGAGGTACTTGGAGGGCATGTCGGTGGCGGCGCAGGCAGGGCTGTGACCACCTGGGATACCCAGATTGATGGCTGGTATGTGAGCAGGTGGCCGGTGGGGCGGCGGGCCTGGGGCTGTCAGGGTTGTGTTTGGCACTCTCAAACTGCTGGAACAGGAGCCTTCTCCAGGCAGAACAGGGCTTCCCTGAGGAGACAAGGAGAGGGGGACAATGAGCCAACATTCCATAGAGGAAGGAAGGGACAGTGCAGACATCGGGAGGAAAGGGTGGGGAACGCGCCTGCCTGTGGCTGCAGCTCAGTGGAGACGTTAGGACCAGGAGGGTCCTGATATCAGGGGGCCCCACCTTTCACGGCCAAGAAGCTGCACCTCACCATGGCTTTGGTGGGCAGTGGCATCTGAAGTGCATGATGGAGGCAGAGGGAAGGTACACATGCCCATTTTTCTTCTGCTTTTCATAAATCAGTTTGAACATAAAGTGGGTTCGTCCATGCCCCTCCCCTCAGCTCCAGCACTGACTCCTACCCCTGGAGCCCCATGTGGGGAGAGGGCTGGGGCTCAGATGGGCCTCTGGGGACCTCCCCAGCAGGCATCCAGGCCGTGATGGTAGCGAGCTGACCCAGGGCCGCTCTGCTGAAACCGCATGTCCCCTCAAAGCAGGCAAAAGCAGAGGCCTCCTGGGGTGGCTCCTCACGGTGCTGACTGCCAGGGGCATCTCCTGGAGAGGAGGAGAGCACACCCAGCCCAGGGCCTCTGCCAAAGACACAAGGAGGGGACAGCTGCCTGAGGGCAGGGATGCCAGGGAGCACTCCCAGGAATTCCTCCCTCCAGGGGCAGAAGTGGGCATGGCTACTCCCCTTCTGCCTGTAGAAACCAGACTCCATCAGTGGATGGGAGACCTAGCTAGTACGTCTGGTCCAGCATTACTGGGAATCCCCTTCCCATCTCCACACAGGCCACTTGCCCCTCTTTCCCCATCACAGGTCTTCAGGGGTGAGGCGGCGTTTTGGACTTCCCCAGCTGGCAGCATCTCTCTGGCCATTCCGAGGCTACAGGCCACTTGAACCCTGATCTAAAAGGAACACATGGCCCAACTCATGACCACAGAGGGACAAACATTCACTCAACCCACCTTGGACAGGCAAAGGACTCCTGCTTCACATTAGTGACCCTGTTTCAACAAAAACCCATACAGGAGTTTCAGTAACCAGACAACACAGTCCCCTTCCACGGCAGCGACTCTGCACTCAGCTCCTGACAGTCTGGTGAGCTCAGGAATGGACCAGCATTTCACACCTCACATGTGGGCCTGGCCGTGTCTAGAGGTGAAGCTCTAATTCAGCAGTTGTGGCAAAGGTAGCCGGGACCCCTGAGTCACTGCCTGTGCCTGCTGGGGCCAGACCTCCCCAGAACTTCCCCTGCTCGCTATGGGGAGCCCCTCTGATGTGTCTGAACCCTCCTCCTCTGGCCTGCAGAAGGGCGGCTGCCTTCTATGTGGGGTGTGGGAGGCATTCACAGCATCCTTACCGCACCGGAGCTGGCATGGCTGAGCTTGTCAAAGCAGAATTTCAGGTTCGATCTCGGGGAGTTTCTGCTTTTGGCATCTAAGAAAAAGAACACCCATGAAAGGAGGGTGGAGCTGTACAGGCCACTGGGGCTGCATGTGGGGACTGGCCGGGGAGCCCAGGGGAAGGGGGCCTCCTGCCCCCCACCTGAACCAGCACTCCAGCTGACCTGTACCGGTCCGTAAGAGCCAACTCCTGGATTACAGAAATGTGGGAGCAGGTTGTTCAATACAGGCCATTTTGTAAAGTTGAATTACATAAGCTTAGAATTCAATAAATTATGTTCAACAGATGTAAGAAATACTTGAAATTCATCACTTCCTAGTTATTTTTCTGTTTTATGATTATCTATGCTCTTATGTCTATTGTATTCACATGGTAGAAACACCCTAAAGACGGTGGCTACAGTGTATCTTCTTCCCAATTCCGCGTTCAAGGATGTCACATCAGCAGCTTGAGATCAGCCACGATAGGTATATTTACACCACAGAAATTGGCACATGCTACAAATCATGGCTTGATTCATTGTTTTGTAGTCTAGACTTAAGGAACTAATAGGAAAAAAGTAATGTACATTAAACTTCAAAACGTGTGTCTGCAGGCATGACATTGTGAACAGCACAAAAGAAAACTGAGTCAATATCCTTCCAGCGTTTGAAAACTGTTCTAGGATACAGCAAAGAAATTACTCGTGTTACACTGATCAATGAAGTTCTCTTAATATGAAATACTCATGGCCGGGTGCAGTGGCTCATGCCTATAATCCCAGCAATTTGGAAGGCCAAGATAGGTGAATCACCTGAGGTCAGGAGTTCAAGACCAGTCTGGCCAACATGGTGAAACCCTGTCTCTACTAAAAATACAAAAATTAACCAGGCATAGTAGTGCTTGCCTGTAATCCCAGCTACTTGGGAGGTTGAGGCAGGAGAATTGCTTGAACCTGGGAGGTTGAGGTTACAGTGAGCCAAGATTGTGCCACTGTACTCCAGCCTGGGTGACACAGTGAGACTCCATCTCAAAAAAAAAAAAAGAAAAAAAAATACACACACACACACACACAAAATACTCATTAACATGGTAATATCAGTCCACATTCATGTCCGAATTACATATATTCATCACCGGCAGACTTAAGTTGGCTACAGATGGAAAGGTTAGGCAGATGCCAGTAAAGCATTTTGTGAGAGTCAATTGGACATACGGGATTTATAGTGGAGAATATCATCTATTTGCTGTTTGTACACTGTGTTTCACATCCATCATATAACACGTTTCAGTAAGTGAGTGTGTGAGTGGTGGCAGAGCCAGGTATAAACGCTCCACTAGGCCCTACTGGCAGGAGGGCCACTGGAGTTTCTGGCTTTCCTCTGGCCAAGGGTATCAAAAGCTCAGCTCAGCATAGCCTTCCTGGAAGCTGCTGACTGGTGCGTGGTGCTTCAAATAGAGGCGGTCCACCCAGGGCTGTGACACTTCTTTGTGTCACCTGTCAGTACTCTGCTGGGCCCCAGGAAGCCCCGGGATGAAATGACCAATGATCAGATATCTGAGGTTATGGATGGATACATGTCAGGCCCTCCCAGACCACCTCTCTCCCCAAACTCAGCCCAATAGCAGAAAACAGGTTTCTGGATCTCCCCAAGCCCACCCGCATACTGGGGGAACCACGCACATCTTTCATGGGGCTGGGGGTTAAACACTGTGTGGAGAAAAGGTGTGTAAGAAGCAGCATCACTGTAGGGAGTGGGAAGCACCGGCCCAGAGTCCCCAGACCCATCCAAGGTCCCTTCTGCCCCCGGTGACTTTCAGCAACTTGCAGAAACTCTCATTCCTTCACTCAAAACCTTCCTTACTTGGATATTCATTTAAACCAAGTGGGAGCCAGGCTTGGTTACAGATTCTTTCATTCATTCCAATATTTAAGTTTTTTTTTTTTTTTTTTTTTTGTTTTTTTTTTTTTTTTGAGATGAAGTCTCGCTCTGTCACTCAGGCTGGAGTGCAGTGGCTTGATCTCGGCTCACTGCAATCTCTGTCTCCCAGATTCAAGCAATTCTCCTGCCTCAGCCTCCTGAGTAAGCTGGGACTGCAGGCGCCTGCCACCACGCCCAGCTAATTTTTTGAATTTTTAGTAGAGATGAGGTTTCACTATCTTGGCCAGGCTGGTCTTGAACTCCTGACCTCATGATCCACCTGCCTTGGCTTTGCAAAGTGCTGAGATTACAGTTGTGAGTCACCGTGCCCGGCCTTAATTAAAAAAAAAAATCGAGGGAATTTGTATTACTACCCCCCTTTACAGCTGAGGCTCAGAGAGGTGGACCTGTCAATCCCAAAACTGGGATTCAAACCCAGCTCTGCAGCTGCCCGACCTCAGGGGGCTGAATGAGAGGAGGCATGTGACCTCCTCCACTCACTGAGAAACACGCGAGGGCAGAGGGCCACTGGCTGTGGAATCACCATCTTCCCTTTATCTCTGACACTGCAGGTTCTCTTTGCAACACCCCTTCACCATGCAGACCCCAGGAATATTTTGGCTTCAGCCACCCTGATGGCCCATTGGCCCTTCCTGTGTCTCTATCATTGAGACTAGAGTTTCTCAACCAAATGACATTTGAGGCCGGAGAATTCTTTGGCTAATGTGGTTGCGGGCTGACATGTACATTGCTCAGCTGCTTCTCTGACCTCTGTCCACTAGATGCCAGTAGCACCCTTCCTAAGTCGTGAAAATAAAAAATGTGTCTAGACATTGCCAGACCTCCACAGGAGAGCAAGACTGCCCTGTCTCATTCCCACTCCTTAACAAACGCCAAGGTTACCAGTCCTGTGCCTCTTACAAGCATGAGCACCTTTAAATCTTCATACAACCAGCTGTCGGAGGCAGACACTACTATTCCCCTCCCTTCATTTTTTGCTTGGAGAGAAACAGGCACAGAATGGCTCGGTGACTTGCCCAGTATCATGTCTAGTGAGCAGCAGACCCAAGAGTTGGACCCAGGCTCAGAGTCCTGTGCTCACTCCATGCTCAGCCGCCCTCACGAGAGCAGGAACCCACAGCACCCGCCCAGCAGTGCCCCCACACAGCTCCCAGATGCTGGCCCCCCACCTTCTCCCCAGAGCTGGCTCCCCTACTCTGCCCAGCTGCAGGGATCACAGAACCCTAAATCCAGACTCCTGCTCTCGCTGAAGCCCTGCTACTGAGCCCCTACATTGTATCTCCTTGGTACCTCCCAAACCCTGGCACTCTGCCACAGCCCGGTTCCCCTCCCATCCCCTCTCCTCCTTCCTCTCTGTTCCTGCTCCCCACTAACCCATTCTCCACCAAGCAGCTGCAGCAACCAACTGGTCTTTCTCAACTCCAGACAGTGCTTCCCTACTTAAGAGTCTTCAAATACTGAAGAGTCTCCAACAGCAGCTTTCAGCCAGAGAACAAATCCTCACCAGGGTCTTGGGGATGACCCTGGCCTGCCAATGCTCAAGCCTGTCTCCTGCCTGGCTCTGTAGACTCTAGCTGCTGTGAACCATGTGCAGGTCCAGAATGCCTGCTCTCTCCTCACCTCTGGGCCTTTCCACCTGCTGTTCCTTCCCCTGCAGCCCTTCCCCCTCTTGTGTTATCAGGACCCCCACCAGGACAGAGGGACCCTTGAGTGCTGGCAGGCGGGGAGGGCAGCCAGTGGCAAATAAGCTTCCTCATCACCAATCCCGACTCCTCCACTATGGGATCTAATCAGGGCAACTACCTGTGGGAGTCCGTCCTGCAGACTCTGACCCAGCGACAGATGACAGAAGCCCCAAGGCAGGGGCACCGTCAGGTCACAGCACTGACACACAGATAATTACACTTTGCCAGTTTGGTTGAGGGTCCCTGTGGCTTACAGGCACCCTGTAGAGTGCTGTAAACAGTTGCAACTGCCAGCCCTCACTAGCTAGAGAAACTGGCATTTATTTAATAAAGTTTAGTTGAGAAAGGCTTGGGTCAACACCACTAGAGTGAAGATTAAAGCACAGATTCCGACACCCAAAGCAAACACCATTAGTGGATATCTTGGTCAACCTCTCCGAGAGCACCATCTGGCTCAAAGGTTAGTTTTAAGACCACATGAGTAAACAAGTTAGTTAGGTAAACTCCCCCACATACCGTGACTATTTGCTTTACTTATTAACTCAGTGTAAGGAGGATTTAGGCTGCCTTCACCTGAAACTTCTACTGAAACTATGAAAAAACCTTTAGGCCTTCCAAAAGGGTTTGAGACTATATTCTGTAACTTTCTCTACTATTTTTCCCTTAGTATTTTTGCCACTGCCCTGAGTGAATTCCCACAGGGTCTCCTGCAAGGCTTTCACCTCTCTGCCTCAGTTTCCCACTCTCTGTGTAGGGAGGTTAGGAACTTAGGCTGTGAAGGCCGATGAACAGATGGAGAAAGCTCACAGAGTGGAATCCTCACAGTGGGGAGGAGGGCTGAAGACCAGAAAATTTGGTGTGGGTGGCCAACTGTGGACAGGGCACAGCCTGCCCTCCTGGTGATGTCACACACACCACCCATGCCACTGACCTGTGGGACTCTGGCTCATGATGATCGGGGTAGCAGCTGCTCCCAGGCTGGGGCTCTCGCTGCTCATGGACGGGCTGTAGACAAACACCTCCTGCCTGAAGGGTGACGTGGACGGCTGGCTGCTCTGAGGAGAGAGGCCGGGTGAGTGAGGTCAGCCCACCCTCGGTAGCCACATTACACAGGTCTGAGATAGCACCCACAAGCCCAGGACGGCCACTGCCTCCCACTCCCCATTTGCTCTTTTCTTTCCTGCTGACTTTAACCCTGGTTCTAAGCTTTCCTGCTCCAAGAAGGACCTTTGACCCAGCCTCCTGGGCCAGCACTAGCCACTCAGCACTCCAGCCAGGAGCCCCAAGGCAGGGGCACCATCAGGTCTGACCCTTGCCCTCTGCTGCTGCTGCCATGTCACTTTGAGAGGGACCCCCTCACCCATGGTGCCCAGAGGGTGGTGATGGCCAATGAGCCCACCTCTCATTTCCATTCTTCCCCTTTCCTCTGCAAAGACTGGAGTGGGCTCAATCCACAGTGCCTCTAATGCAAGGAGGGTGGCTGGCCAGCACCCAGAGTGCCTGCCCAAGGGTAGACAGGCACACCTACCCCACTGTCACCCTCCTTCATGGCCTCTCCCTCCCCAGCAGTGCTGCTGACACTGCTGGTGCTGTAGGAGGAGCGGGAGATGTCATGGCCATTCTTCTTCAACTTCATAAAGGGCCTGCAGGGAACAGAAGCAAAGCTGGCCCTGGTGGCACACGAGAGCCCTCCACCCCCGGGTCCTCCTGGGATTGGACAGGGCAGCCCCTGTGGAGATCTGAGCCTATCTTCTGGTGGCTGCCCACGCCCCCACCCATCAGCATATGTGTTCTGGAGAGTTCCAGAGGCAGGAGATGGTCACTCTCAGCCAGCCAAGAGGCAGAGAGTGTGTTCCAGGGCTCTGGGCCAAAGCCAGCCTTTCCCTTACCCTCAGTCTCTTCTCCTTGTTGGGGCAGATTTCCAGAGAGCTGGGATTGGATGAGGTCTCAGACTTTATCTCCTGAGAAGAGTGTCCGCTATCTGGGGTCTTGGGCGTGCTGGATACACTGTCACTGAGGGCACAGAAATGAGGACTGAGGCCGTGGAGGCAGCCTCCACCCATGCCCATCCCTGGCCCCAGGCAGAGCCTCTGCCAGCTGGTGACCAGCATTGTAGGGGGTGGCTGTGGGGTCAAACGCCCCACCAAGCATCACTGCCAAGAAGTCCTTTCCCACCTGAGGTCCCAGAGATGGCAGCACATGGCAGGGTTTCCTGATCCCTACACTACAGGGCTACTCTAGGTTCATGGTCAAGTCCAGAGCTGCCAAACTGGGGTCCTGGCTTGATGGCCTTTAGCCCAGATCTCTCTCACCCATGCTGTGGTCTCACACCTGTCCAAGTTATGGGTCAAGAGAGGGCCCTGTGGGGAATGCAGCAGGAAATATGGCGAAGTCTGTGACATCTGCCCCCACCGCAGGAAACACCCAAGACACATGAACTCCCAGGAGGTCCCAGGAGGCCACCCTTCATACAGACGAGAATACGCTCCTGGATCCACATGAGGAGGCTGCCCTGGGAGCTGGGAAGCAAGGGTACTCTCAGCCAAGAGTTTCCTTCTCCTATAGTCTAACAAAGACCATGGACAGTGCCCACAGTGCGCTCTGTGTGGGACAGGATGGCCGTGTCCTCAATGCACTGGTTTTTGAGATGGAGCCTCATTCTGTCACCCAGGCTGGAATGCAGTGGCATGATCTTGGCTCACTGCAACCTCTGCCTCCCAGGTTCAAGTGATTCTCCTGCTTCAGCCTCCCGAGTAGCTGGAATTACACACATGTGTGACCACGCCTGGCTAATTTTTGTATTTTTAGTCAAGACAGGGTTTCACCATGTGGCCAGGCTGGTCTTGAACTCCTGACTTTGAGTGACCTGCCTACCTCGGCCTCCCAGAGTTCTGAGATTACAGGCGTGAGCCACTGCACCTGCCATCAATGTAGTGTTGTTGAAACAGAATCTATGTACAACAGAACTCACCTATTTAAAGTGTACAGTGTAATGGCTTTTAGTATATTCAGAGTTGTGCAACTATCACCACCATCTGATTTTAGAACACGTTTGGCCCCTAAAGGAAACCCTGGAGCCATCTGTAATCACTTCCTATTCCTCTTCCCGCAACTCCCACCTGATCCCTAAGCCACCACTGTAGACTGGCCTCTTCCGGACAGCCATGTAAATAGAATCATATAATGTGGCATTTTTGTCTGGCTTCTTAAACTCAGTGTTTTCAAGGTTCACCTATGCGCCAATATTGTAGCTTGTATCTGCACTTTATTCCTTTTGATTCTAATAATAATCCATTTTATGGCTAGAATGCATTTTGTTTATCCATCGACCAGATGATGGACATTTGGATTCTTTCCAGTTTGGGCTAGGATGAGTAATGCTGCCATGAACATCTGTGTACTAGCTGTATTGGTAGACTCGGTTTTTCATGGCCCACTGTTCTCACTCTCTTGGGTATATACATAGGAGCGGGTTTGCTTGGTCATATGGTAACTCTATGTTTAACCTTCTAAGGAACTGCCAGACTGTTTTCCACAGTAGCTGCACTGTGTTACACTTCCACCAGCAATGAGCAAGGGTTCCCATTTCTCCATATCCTCCTAACATCTGTTATTATTTGTCTTTTTGATTAAAGCCATGCTAGAGGTGTGAAGTGTCTCAATGCACTTTTGATGAGGTTGCTAATAACCTCCTGTCAACCTGTGCAGGGTCTGGGTCACTGGGCCAGACATCTCTGCGTGTCTGACACAGATGTCCTCCCTTCCTGGAATTTCTCCTCCTCTGGTTTCAGAGATTCCATCTCCTCCTCCTCTCCTCTCATCTTTCCTTTCCAGTCAGTTTCACCAGCTTCCCTTCTCCACCTGCCCTTAAATGTGGTACTCTACTCAGCCTCGCCAGTGGTCACATTGATTAGGCCAACGTCAAAGAGTACCTCTACCCTATTGATTCCCAACTCTCCTTCTCTAGTCAAGGCCTCTCATACAACATGGAATACTATGCGGCCACAGAAAAGAATGAGTTCATGTCCTTTGCAAGGACATGGATGAAGCTGGAAACCATCATCCTCAGCAGACTAACACAAGAACAGAAAACCAAACACCACATGGTCTCACTCATAAGTGGGAGTTGAACAATGAGAACACATGGACACAGGGAGGGGAACATCACACACCAGGGCCTGTTGGGGGGTTGGGGACAAGGGGAGGGAGAGAGCAATAGGAGAAATACCTAATGCATGCGGGGCTTAAAACCTAGATGACAGGTTGCTGAGTACAGCAAATCATCATGGCACATGTATTTCTATGTAACAAACCTGCACATTCTGCACAGAACTTAAAGTATATAAAAACAAATAAAATAAAAACCTACAACTCTGACCACTCCCTGGATGTCTCTACTGATGGTTCACAAAAACTCCCATGCACAGGTTCCAAACAGAGCTTTTCATCCTTCTCCATAACCCTGCCTCTTATCCTGCAAGCCCTACTTCAGAACATGGTGCCACTGCCCAGGGCTACAGGCAGACAACCTAGGAATCTGGAAGTCAACCAAATGCCTCCCTTTCCCTTACAAGACTGTGAGCTTCTAAAGGACAGGCTTGCATGTTTTTGCAGCACTTGTCTGAGCACTCAGCACTGTACCCAGCACATGGTACTCAAGAAATGCTGCTTGCTGAAATAAAGAACAAATGGGCTCACCAACTAAAGAATCAGAAAGACATAAAAACCATACAAGGATACAACAAAGAGAGTGTTACAAGCCAATATTCTTGATAAACACAGATGCAAAAATCCTCAGCAAAATATTATCAAACAGAATTCAACAATGCATCAAAAAGATCATTCACCATGATCAAGTGGGATTCATTCCAGGGATGCAAGGATGGTTCGACATCCACAAATCAACAAATGTGATACATCACATTAATAATACAGAACAAAATCCACATGATCATTTCATTTTCAACAAAGGTGCTGAGAATATACATTGGGAAAGGGCAGTCTCTTCAGTAAGTGGTGCTGGTAAAACTAGATAACCATATGCAAAAGATTAAAACTAGACCCTTCTCTCTCACCATACATAAAAATCAAATCAAAATGGATTAAATCTAAGGCTTGACACAAAGAAACTCCTAGAAGAAAACACTGGGGAAATGCTTCAGGATGTTGGTCTGTCTGGGCAAAAGCTTTTCAGGTAAGACCTCAAAAGCACAGACAACAAAATCAAAAATAGACAAATGGGATTACAACAAGTTGAAAAGCTTCTGCACAGCAAAGGAAACAATCAACCAAGAGCCAATCTGCAGAATAGGAGGAAATATTTGCAAACTATCCATCCAACAAGGATTAATAACCTGAATATATTATGAGGAACTCAAAAAAATCAACAGCAAAAATACACATAACACGATTTTTTAAAGGGCAAGAAATATGAATAGATATTTCTCAAGAGAAGACATACAGATAGTCAACAGGTATATCAAAAAACATTCAACATCACTAATTATCAAGGAAATGTAAATGTACATTTTTGTTTTCATGGACAGTTGTTTTCAACTCTCTTGGGAAGACACGTAGGAGTGGAATTGTTGGTTACACAGTAACTACGTTTAACCTTCTAAGGAACTGTCAGACTGTTTTCTGAAGTAGTTGCACTATTTTACATTCCTACCAGCAATGATCAAGGGTTCCGATTTCTCCACATCCTCTCTGACATCTGTTACTATTTGTCTTTAATAATTCAGAGTCTGTGACATCTACCCCCACCACAGGAAAGAGAATGAGATATCATCTCACCCCAGTTAAAATGGCTTTTATTAAAAAGACAGAAAATCATGAATGCTGGTGAGAATGCAGAGAAAGGGAAATGCTTGCAGTGTTGGTGGGAATGTAAATAGCACAGCCTCTATGGAAAACAGTATGGAGGGTCCTCAAAACACTAAAAACAGAGCTACCGTATGATCTAGAAATCCCACTGCAGGGTAACTATATCCAAAAGAAAGGAAATCAGTAGGTGGAAGAGATATCTACACTCCCATGTTTATTGCAGCTCTACTCACAATAGCCAAGGTACAGAATCACTCAGTGTCCATCAGCGGATAAAGGGATGAGGAAAATGTTGTGGACATACACAACAGATGTTATTCAGCCACAGAAAAAGAATGCAATCCTGTCATTTGCAGCAACATGGGTGGAACTGGAGGTCATTATGTTAAGTGAAAGCCAGACATGTAAAAATAAATACCGTGGCTGGGCATGGTGGCTCACACCTGTAATCCCAGCAATTTGGGAGGCCAAGGTGGGTGGATCACTTGATATCAGGAATTCAAGACCAGCCTAGCCAACATGGTGAAACTCTGTCTCTACTAAAAATACAAAAATTAGCCAGATGTGGTGGTGCACAGCTGTAGTCCCAGCTACTCAAGGAGACTGAGACAGGAGAATTGCTTGAACTCAGAAGGCAGCGGTTACAGTGAGCTGAGATCACGCCACTGCACTGTAGCCTGGGTGACAGAGCAAGACTCTGTCTCAAAAAAAAAGACAAATATTGCATCATTTGTGGGAGCTGAAAAAGTGAATCTTGTGGAGACAGAGAGTTGACTGGTGTCACCAGAGGCTGGGAAGGGGTGGGAGGGCAGGATGAAGAGAAGTTGGTTAAAAATACAGTCAGTTAGAAGAAATACAATTTAGTGTTCAATAGTATAATACAGAGACAATAGTTGATAGTAATAGTTTTCATAGTTCAAAAGAGCCAGAAAAGAGCTGGAATGTTCCTGACACAAAAGATAAATGTTTGAGGTGATGGATAGTACCTTGATTTGACCATTATGCATTTTATGAAAAGAACACATGCACCCCCCAAAAATGTGCAAGTACTATGTGTTGTTTTTTAAAGAATCAAAACAGGTTAAATGTAATATATGAGTTGCTTAAAAAGAAAAAAGCCCAGAACTTTTAGAAGTCTAAAGGAAGGTGCAAGGAACTCTGCCTGGCAGAATCAGGAAAGGTTCCCACAAGACAGGCCTTTGGAGTGAGCATTGAAAAAGGAAGCAAAGGAATAGGAATCCAGCAATGTCTCTAGCCTGGGTCAAAATACTGCAAGAATAACTCTGGAAAGCCCCATGCGGAGACTGGCACCGTCAGCCTCTGGATAAAGAGCTGCGTGAGTGACAGGGGACACGCAGGTGCCTGAAATCAGGGCCATCTGGGCAAAGCTCCTCCCCCAAGGTTGGGCACTGAACACTGTACAGTGGAGAGGGTTGACAGACCCCATGATTCAGGCTGGAGTAGGGGTTTCCCAACAGTTACCATCGTGCCCGGCTGTCCCCCTGGCCTTCCAAGCCTGTGTGCAGGTGGGGGAAGAGCCTCGACCGCCGCTTGATGGGACTCCGTGACTGGTTCTTCGCAGTTGCTGCCACCACTGGAGGCTGCTGATGAAATCGCCAAAATGAGTGCCCTCGGCCTGAACACCAATCTATCCCTTCATCCCCCTCCCTGGTCTACAAATGGCTCTTGCTCTGGAGGAGACCCCAGAAAATAGCAGTACAGCTAAGAAGGTTGAGATCTATAATTGGAGCTGAGACCTCAAGACTCAGGCTAGTGACAGCCTCTTTCCCTGTGTGAAGCCAAACCTCGTGGCCCCAGGTAATGATCCACCAAAGACCACAACCGGCAAGTGCCATGGCTCACGCCTGTCACCCCAGCACTTTGGGAAACTGAGGCAGGTGGATCACGAGGTCAGGAGTTTGAGACCAGCCTGGCTAACATGGCAAAACCCTGTCTCTACTAAAAATACAAAAATTAACTGGGTGTGGTAGCAGGTGCCTGTTATTCCACCTACTCAGTAGGCTGAGGCAGGAGAATCAATTGAACCCAGGAGGCAGAGGTTGCAGTGAGCTGAGATCACACCACTGGACTCCAACCTGGGCAAAAAAAAGACCTTGTCTCAAAAAAAAAAAAAAAAACCCACAACTTTGGAGGAACACGGGGTGAGGGAGCCCTAGACACTAAGATGGTCAGAAAAATTCAGTGGGATACAGACCAAGAGGCACAGAGCCAGGGAAACCCTGGAGGGACCTTGTTCAACCTCTCATTTTATGGGTGAGAAGGCTGAAGAGTGAGATTGCATCAAGGTCATCCAGCAAATCACTGGCAGGTGAGGCCTCCTGACTCTCCTTCATTCCTCACAACAAACGGGGCCCAGCAGGTGTCACAGAAATGAGACTGAGAGTCGTGAGGCCAGGTCCACAGGCACTGGCAGGTGGCTGGGGGCAGCCAGACGGCTTCTGCTCTGGACAGTTTACCCCGGCCTCACAGTGAACAACGCGTGGTGGGAGCTTGAGGAAGGCAGACAGGAGCCCGGAACAATCTTCAGAAGACACCAAGCCTCCAACCCCGGCCCCAGCTCCTGCCATGTACATGCTATGCAACCTCAGGAGAGTGGTGAGACCCGGCCCGAGTCTCCTGATATACAGCATGGAGGTAGGGCCCTGCCCTGCTCACTCCACACACACTCAGGGGTAACAGCATAATAGTTAGGAAAATATTTACTCAAATTAATTATGCAAGGCCATTTATAATAATCATAATTAGTACCACAGTGAGTAGGTTCTGCTATTTTGAAGAAAAAGAAGAAAGGAAGGAGAGGATTCAAGATGGCGCTGTGAGAACAACCCAGGATTGAAGCTCTCACTGGACGCACAGAGAGGGTGAGTCCGGGAAGCATTTCCAGACTGATCTTAGTTGCCCACAGAACGGGGAAATCCCCAGGTATAAAAGAGACGCAGGGGCCGGGCGCGGTGGCTCAAGCCTGTAATCCCAGCACTTTGGGAGGCCGAGGCGGGTGGATCACGAGGTCTAGAGGTCGAGACCAACCTGGTCAACATGGTGAAACCCCGTCTATACTAAAATACAAAAAAATTAGCTGGGCATGGTGGTGCGTGCCTGTAATCCCGGCTACTCAGGAGGCTGAGGCAGGAGAATTGCCTGAACCCAGGGGGCGGAGGTTGCGGTGAGCCGAGATCGCGCCATTGCACTCCAGCCTGGGTAACAAGAGCGAAACTCCGTCTCAAAAAAAAAAAAAAAAAGAGACACGGGAAGCCAGGCAGAGGTCTCCGCTGGCGTAGTAGGCAGCCGGTGTGGCTCCAGCCTGCGCCGGAGCGCAGAGGCGCTCCACAGCGCTCCATACAAAAGCGCACTGTTACAGGTGCCCTGTTGAACTGGCAAACTAAGACTCGAGAGGGCTGAACTTGAGACTGAACGGGTCTTGAACTGTGACCCAGCCCAGGAAATCCTAGGGACTCAGAGTTTGGGGGAGCGCAGTGTGACAAACAAAATGGCGATTCCAAACGCTCCTGGTGAATAGGTTCTTTTTTTAAAGCGCAGCTCCGCGGGGGAGGGGCGTCAGCCATTACCGAGGCAATCAGCCCCTACTGAGGTACACGCCCATTGCTGACGCAGCCTGCCGCTGCCGAGGCAACCCAGTACAACAAAGAGACTCCGCCACAGGGCGTAGCCCATAGCAACAGGGTGGAGACCACAGCAGAAGGGCGGAGCCTGCAGGAAAAGGGCGAACCTCACACCAGCAGGGCAGAGCCTTGGCAGGCAAAAAGTGACTAGACTGCCTCCTAGCTGGGCAGGACAGTGAGGCGGACACTCACAAGGAAAGCCCCAACCCCCCCCCGACAGAGCATCTGAGGAAAAAAAAGGGGTTTTCTTACGAGTTAGGTTGCAGCAGAACTAAACATAGCAGCCTAGCAGCCCTGAATGAACAACAGAGCTCACAGCTCAGCACTTGAGCTCCTACAGATTGTCTCCTCAAGCAACTCCCTGACACCTCTATATCCATAAGACTGACAATCGGCAGACATCATCCTGGGACAAACAGCAGAAAAAGAAACTGGTAGCATCCCTTGCTGTTCTGCAGCTGCTACAGGTGCACCCCAGACAAGCAGGGCCTGGAGTGGACCTCAGCAGTCGTACAGTGAAGGGGCTAGACTGGTAGAAAAAAAACCAAGTAACAGAAATACTTCATCATCAACAATCTGGGTGTCCACTCAGAGATCCAATCAAAAAGTCAGTAACTACACAGACGACAGGTGGATAAATCCACAAAGATGGGAAGAAACCAGCGCAAAAAGGAGGAAAACACCCGAAACCAGAACACCTCGCCACCTAGAAAGGACCAAAACTCCTCACCAGCAAGGGAACAAAGCTGGATGGAGAATGACTGTGACGAAATGATGGAATTGGACTTCAGAAGGTGGATAATGAGAAACTTTTGTGAGCTAAAAGAGCATGTTTTAAATCAACGTAAAGAAACTAAGAACATTGAAAAAAGATTTGAGGAAATGATAACAAGAATGGATACCTTAGAGAGGAATATGAATGAATTAAAGGAGCTGAAAAACACAATACGAGAACTTCGCGAAGCAAACACAAGTTTCAATAGCCGAATTGACCAAGCAGAAGAAAGAATATCTGAAGTCGAAGACCAACTCAATGAAATAAAACGAGAAACAAAGATCAGAGAAAAGAGTGCAAAAAGGAATGAACAAAGTCTCCAAGAAATGTGGGACTATGTGAAAAGACCTAACCTACGTTTGATAGGTGTATCAGAAGGGGACGAAGAGAATGAATCCAAGCTGGAAAATACTCTTCAGGACATCATCCAGGAAAACTTCCCCCACCTAGCAAGACAGGCCAACACTCAAATGCAGGAAATACAGAGAACACCACAAAGATATTCCACAAGAAGAGCAACCCCAAGGCACATAATTGTCAGATTCAACAAGGTTGAAATAAAGGAGAAAATACTAAGGGCAGCAAGAGAGAAAGGTCGAGGTACCCACAGAGGGAAGCCCATCAGACTCACAGCAGATCTCTCGGCAGAAACACTACAAGCCAGAAGAGAGTGGGGGCCAATATTCAACATTCTTAAAGAAAAGAACTTTCAACCCAGAATTTCATATCCAGCCAAACTGAGCTTCAGAAGTGAAGGAAAAATAAAATCCTTTGCGAACAAGCAAGTACTCAGAGATTTTGTCATCACCAGGCCTGCTTTACAAGAGCTCCAAAAAGAGGCACTACACATAAAAAGGATCAACCAGTACCAGCCATTCCAAAATCACACTAAAAGTTAAAGAGCATCAACATAATGAAGAATCTACAACAACCAACAGGCAAAAAGCCACTTAGCATCAAAATGGCAGTATCAAATTCACACATAACAATATTAACCCTAAATGTAAATGGACTAGATGCACCAATCAAAAGACAGACTGGCAAAGTGGATAAAAATCCAAAACCCATCAGTGTGCTGTATCCAGGAAACCCATCTCACATGCAAGGATACACAAAGGCTCAAAATAAAGGGATGGATGAAGATTTACCAAGGAAATGGAGAGCAAAAAAAAAGCAGGAGTTGCAATTCTCATCTCTGATAAAATAGACTTTAAAGCAACAAAGATCAAAAGAGACAAAGAAGGCCATTACATAATGGTAAAAGGATCCATACAACAAGAAGAGCTAACGATCCTAAACATATATGGACCCAATGCAGAAGCGCCCAGATACATAAGGCAAGTTCTTAATGACTTACAAAGAGACTTAGACTCCCACACAATAATAGTGGGAGACTTTAACACTCCACTGTCAATATTAGACAGATCAACCAGACAGAAAATCAACAAGGATATCCAGGGCTTGAACTCAGACCTGGAGCAAGCAAACCTGATAGACATTTACAGAACTCTCCACCCCAAATCCACAGAATATACATTCTTCTCAGCACCACATCACACCTACTTAAAAATGGACCACATAATTGGAAGTAAAGCACTGCTCAACAAATGCAAAACAACTGAAATCATAACAGCCTCTCAGACCATAGTGCAATCAAGTTAGAACTCAGAATACAGAAACCAACCCAGAACCGCACAGCTTCATGGAAACGGAACAACTGGCTCTTGAATGTTGACTGGGTAAATAATGAAATGAAGTCAGAAATAAAGAAGTTCTTTGAAACCAATGAGAACGAAGACACAACATGCCAGAACCTCTGGGACACATTTAAAGCAGTCTCTAGAGGAAAGTATATAGCAATAAGTGCCCATATGAGGAGAATGGAGAGATCCAAAATTGACACCCTATCGTCGAAATTGAAAGAGCTAGAGGAGCAAGATCAAAAAAACTCAAAACCCAGCAGAAGACAAGAAATAACTAAGATCAGAGCTGAACTGAAGGAGATTGAGACACGAAAAACCCTTCAAAAAATCAATAAATCCAAGAACTGGTTTTTTGAAAAGATCAGTAAAATAGACAGACCACTAGCCAGATTGATTAAAAATAAAAGAGAGAACAACCAAATAGATGCAATAAAAAATGATAAAGGGGAAATCACCACAGATTCCACAGAAATTCAAACCAT